GCACTGCCTTGGTGAATCGTCCGATGTGATAATAAAAAAAAAAAAAAAAAATCTAGATGCCTTATATTTCTCCCATAACAGCTACTGCATTCTCCCTACAAGTTTGGGCCTATAATCACACCAAAATAATTTTCACTCTCTCAAAAACTGTACCGAACAATGTTTCGATGTTTCTAGATCTTACTCATGTTAATCAGCAATTTAAATTTCTCTCGCAATTTCCCACTCTACACCTTCTGTTGACCTCTATCATGTGAATAGTTTATCACCTGTAATGTTATACAGAAGGCATTTCTCTATCTTTCAGATGAACTCATCTTTGTTAACCATTCTTATCTACATTACCTGCACTTGCAGTAATTGCTCATCATCTTATTTCTTAGACTCCTAATATTTGTATAGTAAACCTTAAGGGAGCTAGTCACTCGCTGCCCTCTACTATCTTTGTTTGTTTGTTGATCAACTGATTTGCCATTACTAGCAACTTTATTTTGAATATTGTCTTTTAAACATATCCCTGAGGTATCCCGGTAATAACTGCTGTTTTTAACCCTTATGCCGCAGCATGATTGTTTCTCACAACCACCCATACCTCTATAATCTATCAGTTTAAATTCCTAGACAAGTCATCAATTACCCTCTCAATTGAATTGGCTAATGCAACCACTCCATCCCCAGAGAGATGACCCCATCCCTTGCATACATATCACGTTTGCCAAAGAATAGTTCCCAGTTATCAATGAATGGGATTGCAAGTTCCTTGCAGTACCTGTCTAGCCAGCAATTTATACCAATTGCCCTAGACATCCATTCATTGCCCACTCCCTTTCTAGGCAAGATGCTACATATGACTGGGATCCCTCCCTTAGACCTAACTACTTCTATGGCTGACCTATACTTATCCAGCAGCTCCTCTCTCCTGCCCTTCCCAATGTCATTACCCCCAGCACTAAGACAGATAATGGACTTGTTCCCATTACCTGCCATAATATTATCCAACCTTCTGCCTATGTCACCAACACCAGCTCCAGGAAGGCACACTCTCTGTCTGACCTTTCTGTCTCTGTTACAAAATGCACGGTCCATATATCTTACCTGAGAATAGCCTACTATTAAAATATTCTTACTTTGATTAGCAGGGGAATCAGTGGTACCTTCAACCTCACTAACCACTGAAGTACACTCGTCTTGGAGAACAGAGAATCGATTTCCTACTTTCACATCTTCTCTATTAACTCACCTCATCTTCCTTCTTCCTGAACTGTGAACCACTTGCCACTTAAAGTGGCTGCCACTATCACTGCTGGTGACCATTTCCTCCTTACCAGCTAAATCCTTCTCACACTCGCTCCCAAACTCATCTATGCGAAGCTTCAGCCTCCTATTTTCCTCCTGAAGAAGTAGAATCTCCTTCAACACTTGAACCTGAGATTCTAAAACACTACAACAAGCCATGGTGCTTGGTAACAGCCCACGCTAACTCCCAAGAGCTTAGGCAGGTATGACCGCAGGTGACCACTGACCTCAGTGTACTTTTGGTAATTCCACACCTCCTCCTAATTTCTACACTACAAATTTTCTGCATAATATTTACACCACATTTGGCCCTTATACATGACGTCTCCATCCAGCCTCCTCTTTGCTGTAACATTCTCAGTCAATGCTTCACACCCATATAAGAGTGTTGGTACCACTATACTCTCACACATTCCTGTCTTTGCCTCCATGGAAAACGTTCTTTGTCTCCACATATACCTCAATGCACCAACCACAGTGACATTATGCATCCCTGTCTAAGGCCTACTTTTTAATGGAAAGTAATCTCCCTCTCTAAACCACACCGTTAGGGTGTGGTTTAGAGAGCCTCTTTTTTTTTTTTTTTCAAGAAGGCCGTCTCCCACCGAGGCAGGGTGACCCAAAAAGAAAGAAAATCCCCAAAAAGAAAGAAAATCCCCAAAAAGAAAATACTTTCATCATCATTCAACTCTTTCACCTTACTCACACATAATCACTGTTTTTGCAGAGGTGCCCAGAATACAACAGTTTAGAAGTATATATGTATAAAAATACACAATATATCCCTCCAAACTGCCAATATCTCAAACCCCTCCTTTAGAGTGCAGGAATTGTACTTCCCATTTCCAGGACTCAAGTCTAGTTATATAAAATAAGCCTCATTATCCTCATAAAAACTCTTTACAGCCTTTAGTAACTTACTATCTATTCCATGCACTTGCAACATCTGCCACATTGCTCCCTTATCCACCCTATCATATGCCTTTCCTAAATCCATAAAAGCAACAAAAACTTCCCTACCTTCATCTAAATATTGCTCTCTTGTATGCTTGGTCTACACAACCCCCACCCATTCTAAAATCTCCTTGTTCATCGGCAATCCTGCTCTCTGTCTTACCTCTAATTCTTTCAACAATAACCCTACCAAATACAGGTCTCCCTCAACATTCACGTTTTCAGCTTTCGCGGGCTTCACACATTCGCGAATTCCCAACGCCAAAATCCCAGCCGCCAAATTATATTCAAGTTTCCCCCCGTCCCTACTACCCTTCCACCGACCCCCGCAACTGGCAACCAGCCCTCCCACCACTCAGTGTGGTGAGTGTTTTGTTTGTTCATTATTTGCTATTAAACTACAGTATAAATAATGTAAACCCATTCATGACTGCATATTGCAATGGCTATTCGGACAGGTATTAGACGGTGACATCATGTGTTTACTCTTGAACACAGCAAAGAATCAAACATTTCTGCTACTGCTAATAATAAGAATAGTAATAATAATAATAATAATAATAATAATAATAATAATAATAATAATAAATATGATATAATTGAAGAAGGAAGTTGTACAAAAATACGAGGGAGTGGTTGACACATCGTCAGTGTGACTTTGTTTATGCTGGAGTGAACATTAGTCTCCCTGCTCTTCCAAACATTTCACAATAATTCATTGTGTTTGGTGCTTGTAGATTGAGTGCGACTGGAGTGGTAGAGGCAGTGGTTGAGGCAGCTGTTGAGGCAGCTGTTGAGGCAGCGATTGAGGCAGTGGTTGAGGCAGCGATTGAGGCAGTGGTTGAGGCAGCGATTGAGGCAGTGGGTGAGGCAGCTGTTGAGGCAGCGATTGAGGCAGTGGTTGAGGCAGCTGCTGAGGCAGCGATTGAGGCAGTGGGTGAGGCAGCTGTTGAGGCAGCGATTGAGGCAGTGGGTGAGGCAGCTGTTGAGGCAGCGATTGAGGCAGTGGGTGAGGCAGCTGTTGAGGAAGCGATTGAGGCAGTGATATTTAATAACATACATGTTATTAATAATAATAATACATGTTATTAATAATATGTACTATTATTATTTATAACATATATGTTATTAAATACCACTGCCTCAACCGCTGAATTATCATGAAATGTTTGGAAGAGCAGGGAGACTAACGCTCACTCCAGCATAAACAAAGCCACACTGACGATGTGTCAACCACTCCCTCGTATTTTTGTACAATTTCCTTCTTCAATTATATTGTATTCTTATTATTATTATTATTATTATTATTATTATTATTATTATTATTATTATTATTATTATTACTATTGTTATTATTAGCAGTAGCAGAAATGTTTGATTCTTTGCTGTGTTCAAGAGTAAACGCATGATGTCACCGTCTAATACCTGTCCGAATAGCCATTGCAATATGCAGTCATGAATGGGTTTACATTATTTATTCTGTAGTTTAATAGCAAATAATGAACAAACAAAACACTCACCACACAGTGGTGGGAGGGCTGGTTGCCAGTTGCGGGGGTCGGAGGGAGGGTAGTAGGGACTCGCAGTGGTTGGGGAAGTGGTGGAGGCAGTGGTGGAGTCTGTGGTATTTAATAACATACATGTTATTAAAGCATAACATGTATATATTTAGTACAATTTACGACGTTTTCATGTATTTTATGATTGTTCATGGTTCAACAAGTTAAGGAAGCAGTATTGTATTATATTCCCCTACAATATATTGGGGGCACCAAACATTCACGGTTTTTCAACATTCGCGAGGCTCTTGATCCCCTAACCCTCGCGAATGTTGAGGGAGACCTGTACTTTACCTGGTATACACAGTAAGTTTATTCCCTTATAATTTTTACACTCACTTTTGTCTCCCTTCTTTTTATATAAAGGAACTATGCACACTCTCTGCCAGACCCTAGGAACCTTCCCCCTTCTCTATTTATATAATGTATTTTTTTTTTTTTTTATCACACTGGCCGATTCCCACCAAGGCAGGGTGGCCCGAAAAAGAAAAACTTTCACCATCATTCACTCCATCACTGTCTTGCCAGAAGGGTGCTTATCACTACAGTTTTTAAACTGCAACATTAACACCCCTCCTTCAGAGTGCAGGCACTGTACTTCCCATCTCCAGGACTCAAGTCCGGCCTGCCGGTTTCCCTGAACCCCTTCAGAAATGTTACTTTGCTCACACTCCAACAGCACGTCAAGTATTAAAAACCATTTGTCTCCATTCACTCCTATCAAACACGCTCACGCATGCCTGCTGGAAGTCCAAGCCCCTCGCACACAAAACCTCCTTTACCCCCTCCCTCCAACCTTTCCTAGGCCGACCCCTACCCCGCCTTCCTTCCACTACAGACTGATACACTCTTGAAGTTATTCTGTTTTGCTCCATTCTCTCCACATGTCCGAACCACCTCAACAACCCTTCCTGAGGTGGTTCGGACATGTGGAGAGAATGGAGCGAAACAGAATAACTTCAAGAGTGTATCAGTCTGTAGTGGAAGGAAGGCGGGATAGGGGTCGGCCTAGGAAAGGTTGGAGGGAGGGGGTAAAGGAGGTTTTGTGTGCGAGGGGCTTATATATATATATAATGTAGTTGGGTATAATTGAATAACATAAATTTATGTACACTACCACATCTAACACTGAGATTTTAATTAAGCAAAGTAACCCTTTCATTCAATGAAGCTTCTATACACTGTACTTACTTGATTGGTCGACCCATGTGTTCTTGATGGTGCATCTTGAGGGCTTGAATTATGGAAGGCTGTTCAGAGTATTCCACAAGAGCATTTCGTGAACCATCATGTTCTACACCTAGACGAAGGTACCGAACCTCACCAGCCTTGGCTGCAATTTCCATTATCTGGTCAGAGGTTATCTGAGAAACACACAAGTTCATTTTAGTGAAGTACATAACATTTGTGATACAAAGGAGAAAAAATTTTCTTAAAAGGAGGTTTTGTATGCGAGGGGCTTAGACATCCAGCAAGCGTGTGTGAGCATATTAAATAGGAGTGGAGTCAAGTGGTTTTTAAGTGTTGAGGTGCTGTTGAGTGTGAGCAAGGTAACATGTATGAAGGGATTCAGGAAAACAAGTTGGCCGGACTTGAGTCCAGACATAAGCACAGTGCCTGCATACTGAAGGAAGGGTGAGGATATTTGCAATTTTGAACTGTAGTATCAGCCCACCACTGGCAAGATAGTGGAGTGAATGATGGTGAAAGTGTTCCTTCTTTATAGGACACCCTACCTCGGTGGAAGATGGCCAGCTTGTTTAAAAAAAAATCCAATTCCTATTAATTTTTTAACAAAATGCTTAACAAAGGACTAAAAGCATATACCATGCTGTACTCATCAAAGACTGAAAGTCCCTCTCCCATTCCCTAGCTCCCTCCCTCTTACCCATTCCCCCTCTCCCATTCCTTACATGTCTCTCAGCCGAGGGTAACTTTAAACCAATTGCCAGTAATTTCTTTTTCTTGCAGTTTTTTTTATAAACACACTGGCTATTTCCCACAAAAGCAAGGTGGCCCAAAAAAGAAAAACTTTCATCATCATTCACTCCATCACTGTCTTGCCAGAGGCATGCCCACATTACAATTATAAAACTGTAACATTAACACCCCTCCTTCAGAGTGAAGTCACTATACTTCCCACCTCCAGGACTCAAGTCCAGCCTGCCAGTTTCCCTGAATCCCTTCATAAATGTTACCTTGCTTGAACTTCAACAGCATGTCAAGTCCTAAATACCATTTGTCTCCACTCCTATCTAATAGCCGCTCACACACAAACCCTCCTTTACCCCCTCCCTCCAACCTTTCCTAGGTTGACCCCTACCCTGCCTTCCTTTCACTACAGATTTATATGCTCTCCAAGTCATTCTATTTTGTTCCATCCTCTCTAAATGTCTGAACCACCTCAACAATCCCTCCTCAGCCCTCTGGATAATACTTTTAGTAACCCCACACCTCCTTCTAATTTCCAAACTACAGATTCACTACATTATATTTGCTCCACACATTGCCCTCAGACATGACATCTCCACTGCCTCCAGTCTTCTCCTTGTTGCAACATTCACCACCAGTGCTTCACATCCATATAAGAACGTTGGTATAACTATGCTCTCATACATTCCCTTCTTGCTTCCATGGATAATGTTCTCTCTCTCCACAGACTCCTAAGTGCACCACTAACCTTTTTCCCCTCATCAATTCTATGAGTCATCTCATCTTTCATAGACCTATCTGCTTACACATCCACTCCCAAATACAGTGGACCCCCGCTTAACGATCACCTCCAAATGCGACCAATTATGTAAGTGTATTTATGTAAGTGCGTTTGTACGTGTATGTTTGGGGGTCTGAAATGGACTAATCTACTTCACAATATTCCTTATGGGAAAAAATTCGGTCAGTACTGGCACCTGAACATACTACTGGAATGAAAAAAGTTCGTTAACCGGGGGTCCACTGTATCTGAATACATTCACCTCCTCCATACTCTCGCCCTCCAATCTGATAACCAATCTTTCATTACCTAAATTTTTTGTAATCCTCATCACCCTACTCTTTCCTTTATTCACTTTTAATTTCCTTCTTTTACATACCCTACCAAACTCGTCCACCAACCTCTGCAACTTCTCATCAGACTCTCCCAAAAGCACAGTGTCATCGGCAAAGAGCAATTGTGACAACTCCCACTTTGTGTTAGATTCTTTATCTTTTAACCCCACATCTTTTGCCAAAACCTGAGCATTTACTTCTCTTACAACTCCATCTATAAATATACTGAACAACCATGGTGACATCACACACCCCTGTCTAAAGCCTATTTTTACTGGGAAATAATCTCTCTCTCTCCTACATTCTCTAACCTGAGTCTCACTATCCTTGCAAAAACTCTTCACTGCTTTCAGTAACCTACCTCATATTCCATACATGTGCAACATCTGCCACACTGCCCCCCTATCCACCCTATCATATGCCTTTTCCAAATCCATAAATGTCACAAAAACTTCTTTACCCTTATCTAAATACTGTTCACCTATATGTTCTACTGTAAACACTTGGTCTACACACCCTCTACCCATCCTAAAGCCTCATTGTTCATCTGCTATCCAGCTCTCCGTCTTACTCTTAATTCTTTCAATAATAACTCTACCATACAATTTACCAGGTATGCTCAAGAGGCTTATTCCCCTATAATTTTTACACTCTTTTGTCCCCTTTGCATTTATACAAAGGAACTATGCATGCTCTCTGCCAATCCCTACAAACCTTACCCTCTTCCTTACATTTATTAAATAAGAGCTAACCATTCCAATATTATACCCCTCACCCCTACTTTTAACACTTTTGTCTTTATCCCATCAATTCCAGCTGCTTTACCCCCTTTCATTCGACCCACTGCCTCACCCACTTTCCCCCCACTCACAATGGGCTTTTCCTCACTCCTACAAGATGTTCCTCCCTACCCAATACACGAAATCACTACTTCCCTATTCTCGTCAACATTTAACAATTCCTCAAAAGATTCCTTCCACCTTCCCGATACCTTCAATTCTCCATCTAACAACTCCCCTCTCCTATCTTTAACCTGTCAAATCCACTCGTTCCCTAGGCTTCTCAACTTATTAATCTACTCCAAAACTTTTTCTTATTTTCAATAAAATTGCTGACACCTCACTCACTCTCTCATTTGCTCTCTTTTTACATTCCTTCATCACTCTCTTAACCTCTCTTTTTCTCTCCATATATTCCTCCCTCCTTGTATCACTTCTACTTTGTAAAAACCTCTCATATGCTAACTTCTTCTTTCTTACTACTCTCTTTACCTCGTTCCACCAATCACTCTTCTTCCCTCCTGCACCCACTTTTCTATAGCCACAAACTTCTTCTGAACACTAACACTACACTCTTGAATCTACCGCATACATCTTCACTCTCACTGCCTATACTCTCACTAGCCCATCTGATGTATCTGTAGCCCCTCTATAAACATGCACATCCTGTAGTCTGCCCATCAGTCTTTCATCTACCAATACATAGTCCAACAAACTACTGTCATTATGTCCTATATTATATCTTGTATACTCATTTATTCCTTGCAGTTATTTTAACAAATAGCCAATTAAAAATAGTAGAACAAGTGAAAATTGTGAATAATAAGAACATATTGTGACTGAAAACTGAGTGTCAGTAAAGTATGTTATCTCTTATTAGTTCCCATAAAGAAAATTTTGTAATAAAATTATCATTTTAAAAGCCAGCTTTACAATTCTCATCAATTTTTCTAGCCCAAATGATACTTATATGCAACACCTATATCAAAACAATAGGAGAGAAAGTTCAGAATGCATTAACAGTTAAATAAAGCAAACAAAAAAAATGTACAGTATCATACATTACACTGTCATTACACATTTCTATGCCACCTAGGGTGATATATCTACAGAGGATGTAATTCTAAAATAAGTACATATACAGGCGAGCCCTGCTTTATGGTGTTTCACTAATGCAGTGGGTTTCAATTGTACACATTCTTCATTTACTCAGACTGCATTTATTCCCACCTCCAGGACTCAAGTTCAGTAAGCCAGACTTTAATCCTGGAGGTGGGAAGTACAGTGCCTGCGCTTTGCAGGAGGAATGTTGATTTGTTGGTTTTTAACTGTAGTGTAGCTGTGCCTCTGTAATGAAAGTAAGCGAGTGAATGATGATGAAAGTTTTGCTTCTTTCTCGGGTCACCCTGCCTCGGTGGGAAATGGCTAATGAGTAATAAAAAAAATTCACCCCTCACTACATGCTAAGAACAAAAATATTTTGAGGTAAGTTATGTGTGTAGTGTATATGTATTTATTGTGCCTAGATCTATTGCTCACTTAACCCTTAAATGGTCCAAAGAGATTGACGTTCAAATTCGTAGTGCTACAAAAGTAGATCTACTTTTCATATTTTCAAATATAACAAAAAAAAATGTAGATAAAAGTTTTTTTTACATGTTTTCAAATGTAAAACAAAAAAGAAGATCTACATTTTTTTACATACTTTCAATGTTGAAAAAACGTATATATACGTTTGGACCATTTAAGGGTTAATATATGATGGTATATTAATGTTATCAGGCTTTTATATGCATTTAAAAGTGAAAAAAGGCTGTTTCACTTTACAGTGGAACCCAGGTTTTCATCCGGTCCGGCTATCGTACAATTCAGTTTTCAACCACTTTTTTCGGCGAAATTTTCCCGTTTTCATACATCCACTCAGAAATTGTCCATACTAGATGTGTCCACCTGTCCGCAGGACGTGGCCGCTCATACGTTCGTGACTCAGTCTGCCTTTGTTACTCGTTCAATGAGTATTACTATACTGACCCTGACGACCCTATGCCTGTTGTGGAATCTATTGTGTCTTTGGGGAAGTCCATGGAGTTGGAGGGAAGTGGCCAGGATGTAGAAGAGTAGGTGGAAAACCACAGGGAAGAGCTAACCACTGAAGAGCTGCAAGACCTTCATCTGGAACAGCAACAGACCTTAGCTGAGGAAATTGCTTCAGAAGAGGAGAAAGAAAGAGGGGAGAATGTGCCTTCTTCAGCAATTAAGGACATTTGTACAAAGTGGAGTGAGGTGCAAAGTTTTGTGGAGAAATATCACCCTAACAAAGCTGTTGCAAGCCATGTCAGCAACATGTTCAACTACAATGCCATGTCCCATTTTAGGCAAATCTTAGAGAGACGCCAGAAACAGGCCTTTCTCGACAGATTTTTTTTGTGACGGGTCCAGTGACTCAAGCTGGTCCTAGTGCCAGTAAAAGACAAAGTAGGGAAGTAACCCCGGACAGGGCTTTGATACCTGAAGTCCTTATGGAGGGGGATTCCCCTTCCAAACAAAAACCTCTCCTCCCTCTCCCCTCCTCACCGTCTTTCATACGCCAACAAGAGTCTTCAATAAAGGTAAAAGTGATGTTAAATGTTCATTTATCCATTCCATTAGTCATTTATATTTATTTCTCATTGTTTTCTGTATGTAAAACTATAGTTATTCTCTATAAAATGTATTTTTTGTTAATATTTTTGGGTGTCTGGAATGGATTAATTGAATTTACATTATTTCTCATGGAAAATATCACTTCAGTTTTCGTACAAATCAGTTTTCGGCCGACCTTCTGGAAGGGATTAAAGACGAAAACCGGGGTTCCACTGTACAGCAATTTTTGCTTTACAGCAGTAACCCGGAACCTAACCTGCTGCATAAATAGGGCCCTCCTGCACTATAATCACTTCCCCTTTTATTATTTTAATTGTGAAGACAATTTAATAGTATTCACTAATAATGAATTTGATGGGACCTCTAGGAATGTAGACTGAACAAATTTAGAGGTCACAGTGAGTACCAATACCTATGCTATCACTTCCCAGGTAAAGGCTCGATTTTGAGTTATTGTTTAAATTTAGCGAGTTCTTATTTTGTAAGCGCAAAAATGTTTTAAAATACCAGAATAATAATAATTTATTTCTTAAAGAAATGTAATAACTCCCCTGCTTTACATTAGAGTGGGTGGCAATGTGTAAATCATGAAAAAGCCTTTTTTTTTTTTTTTTTTTTTAACGTCGGTCATCTCCCACCGAGGCAGGGTGACCCAAAAAGAAAGAAAATCCCTAAAAAGAAAATGCTTTCATCACCATTCAACACTTTCACCTCACTCACACATAATCACTGTTTTTGCAGAGGTGCTCAGAATACAACAGAGGTATTTAGAAGTATTTAAAACAATCACAAGTCCAAACTTCTTACATTTGGTTCGAGGTTATCAAATACAACTGTACGCCGAATTTCATTTATTTTGTGGGACTCTGTTGTTGCTGGCAGTGGAGGGTAATCAGGAAGATCATTCTCAGCTAGATGTGGATCAATGGTCTGCAAAACAATCCCATCAATCTGTTGACAAATATAATAGTTTATTTATTATATACTGTACTATACATCCCCTTCCCTTCCACACACACACATATACATACATTTACAGCATTTTAAGCAAACTTAGACTAGTATTAATACTATAGTCTTTTAAATTGGTCATGTACAGGGTATTAACAGGAAATTTTAAAAAATATACAAATTAAAAGATTATTCATTCAACAATTTTTGTAACAATTAATAAACATGCATTCTCCATGGATTGCATCTTTTATAAACACCCTGTATTTTGCCATTTTTATATAATAAGTCAGGGCCTCAGATAATAAATTTAACAACTAACCTGATTAGTAACATGTGCAGGCCATTTTGCTTCTTGTCCTATCCCAGGAATTGTTCCACCTGTCCCAAGAATTTCCATGGCTCTCTGCTCATCTGGCATATCTCCCGAAGTAAATGGAATGATGATGAGGGCTCGGTCAATAAACACCGTGTTAGTAAGGTGCTGAGCCACTGCAACAGACTCCCGATCATGGAACTTGAGAAAACAAATGCGAGACTGGACTGGTATGGCAACATCACGACTGAAAATAATTAAACATGAAATTATGAAGAAAAGATCATTGAACCTGAAGAAACATAATACTGGGAAAGATCTTATGCCATTTATAGAAGATACTTGGAATATACATTCTTACTCTTTAAGAATCATTCTCAGATAATTTGTTTAAGAATTATTTACATTCTAAATACAGAATAATTATATTCGCAGTGCCTAAGGAAAACAATGTTATCTTTTCTTGGCATTAATGTTTATCATGTTAACACTAGCTTCCTTATTGTGATCTTTCTATGTATATACCCTCTTTGTTGGTATGGTGCATTGACATAAAAATTGCTTTAGAGATCAGAACATACAGGAGGAGACTGAAATAGCTTGAAACCATGCCTGAGGCTCACTCATCTTCTTCTTTCAACAAACTAGCCATATCCCACCGAAGCAGGGGGGCTCAAAAGGAAAAACGAAAGTTTTTTTTTTAAATTTATCAATTTATGCAGGAGGAATTACTAGCCCCTTGCTCTCGGCATTTCAGTCACCTTGTACAACATGCATGGATTACGGAAGAAGAAGACTTTTCCACTTCCCCATGGAATATTATAAATACACACATACATACATAATCAATCTCTCTCTCTCTAAGCATTTTTAACTTCAAGCACACCTTAAAATATAAGGTAATATAAGTAATTCAGAACTTAATAACTCATCACGGTGCCCCGTGGCCTGGTGGCAAAGGCTCTTGCTTCACACAGTGAGGGTACAGGCTTGATTTCCGGTGAAGAGGTGGAAACATTGGGCGTGTTTCCTTACACCGGTTGTCTATATTCACCCATCAGTAATGGGTACCTGGGTGTTAGTGGACTCGTGTGGGTCGCATCCTGGGGCAAAACTGACCTAATTTGCCAGAAATGCTCAGCATAACAAGCGGCTTTCTATATAATAGTAGTATGTCATTGATGTCAGCTAGGCCTGTATACCTTGTACATGTAGAAATAAAGATATTACATTATTATTATTAACTTGTTTAGTTATCAAATCTTTGTAGCCCACCCCCTGGACCAATTATGTGCCTCTGTAATCTTGTACTACCACTCACAGGAAGGGTATGGGAGTACACTCAAAATATAATCATTTTGTATAATCATTTTATAATCAATTTGTATGCCTAATGAGAAATAAAAAAAAACTAATATTAATTTAATTTAGTAAATAGGATAAATAATGCATTTAATTAGAATAACCTACTGGAGTTCTTAAGTTAAAATATTTACCAATTTCATAATCAACGGTACCAGATACAATTTAGCTAGTCAAATCCTTTAACAAAAATAAAATAAAAATTGCTGAATATACCGGCCACGGCTGCACCTTTCCTTACATTGTGGGATACAATCTGATGTCTTCTATCTTGCCCAGGAACCCAAAAAGTGTTGACATTTGATCCTTGGTAGCCTGAGGAGCTATGTTGGAGATCTGCACAATTCTGGTCTTGGACTTCATGGCGAAATTTGTGGAAAATAAGATATGTAATACATAGGATCCCTCGAGGCATCAGCTTGTAAACACTAGCTGCTGCTGCTGCTGCTGCTGCTGCAGTACGCAATACCAACCTAAACCAAATACATTAATTTACACATCAAATTCGTAGGTAAATACACACTGATGCATAGTACCTTTAAATATACATGTCCAAGTCCAATAAATAATGTTTTAATATCTACAGATATTATTAAACTATCACTTATGGATTGTTATCGTTGTCTTAAAGTTTTACGACGGCTTGTGCCGTATGAGCCTTTCTACAAGAAGTGTCGTGAATATATTGCCCGAGCCTGGGAGGAAAATGGAAAGGAAAAAGTGAAATCTAAAAAAAAAAAGGGGGGGTGGGGGGAGAAGAACATGTTGCCCGTCACGTGAGGTAACCATCCTTATCTAGACCCCAGCATAACCCATACCTTGAGAGAGAGCAGAATCTCCAGGTGTTCACACAGACTATCAATGGCTCCCCGACAGTGGGAAGCTAAGAGTTATGTTATTGTAAACGGGCCTGATGGTAGCATACAATAGGTCTATTAGAATTAATAACTGGATTTCCGTCTTATAAACTGAGCTATCTGTCACACTTATTCACTCCATCAAGATTGATGGAGTGAACAAATCGACTCCAGACTAAGGTACTAGATTACTTCAAACTCTTCATCTTCCACCGTTTCTCTTCATTAGACTGAAGGAGCCACTGGCTAGCGAAACGTTCCAGAATAAAGATACCCAAGTAGTAGTGGGTAGTTTCAAATTTAGGTTGGATAAGTACATGAGTGGGAGGGGTTGGATTTGAGTGGGACTTGCACATCAGGGCTTATTTCTTGGGTGGCATTGAAAATTGGGTTGGGAAAATGCTTGTTAGTGGGATGAATTGTAAAGGACCTGCCTAGTATGGGCCAACAGGCCTGCTGCAGTGTTCCTCCTTATGTTCTTATGTTCTTAAGTGTAAGTAAGTTTATTCAGGTATACACAAATACAGCTACATAGATTATCATACATGGCAGTATATGTGTAGATTAGAGATTTTGCCACCGAAGTGGCTAGTTTATTGTGCACCCCATATCCATCCTGTGGAGCAGTGGTTCCCAAACTGGGGGTAAATTACCCCCTGAGGGTAATTTAACCATTTTTGGGGGGTAGTGGAGGGGTGACAGAAAAAAAGTTATGAATTCTGAAAATCAAGAAAACAATGCGGTACCCGGTATGAGGATTATTGTTAACTTTGTCTTAGTATATAAAGTTGTAAAGTAAACCTATTATAAAGTAATAAAGTTAAACCAAATAACAATAAACATCAAAATCTAATATACAGTATTAGAAAAGAAGAAATATATAGCTAAGTGTGTGGAAACCCAAAAGTATTTTGACAAGTGTGCTTCAGGACAAAAGTCACTCAGTAGCCCAGATCGACCTGTCCTGTATGCGTCACTCACTTCCTGAGGCTGCCTGTGTACCTCTGTAATCTGTAAATACCTTTGTAACTTGTCATGATTGTGACTAGACCTACCTGGAGTTCATTACCTTTGTAAATTGTGAGTTCATTACCTTTGTAAATTGTGAATTCATTACCTCTGTAACTTGCTCAGCTATCAAAACTTTGAGGCCCAGTCCCTGGACCAATTATGTACCTCTGTAATCTTTTGACTACCGCCCACAGGATGGGTATGGGGTGCATAATAAACATATTAAACTAACTAACTAACCTCTATTTCACACTGTCAGTTTATCGTAGCGTAATAGCGCACAAAATGCGCGCTAAAGGAATAACAGGAAAAGTCGGTCGATGGATCTATAATTTCCTCACTAACAGAACACAGAGAGTAGTCGTCAACAGAGTAAAGTCCGAGGCAGCTACGGTGAAAAGCTCTGTTCCACAAGGCACAGTACTAGCTCCCATCTTGTTCCTCATCCTCATATCCGACATAGACAAGGATGTCAGCCACAGCACCGTGTCTTCCTTTGCAGATGACACCCGAATCTGCATGACAGTGTCTTCCATTGCAGACACTGCAAGGCTCCAGGCGGACATCAACCAAATCTTTCAGTGGGCTGCAGAAAACAATATGAAGTTCAACGATGAGAAATTTCAATTACTCAGATATGGTAAACATGAGGAAATGAAATCTTCATCAGAGTACAAAACAAATTCTGGCCACGAAATAGAGCGAAACACCAACGTCAAAGACCTGGGAGTGATTATGTCGGAGGATCTCACCTTCAAGGACCATAACATTGTATCAATCGCATCTGCTAGAAAAATGACAGTATGGATAATGAGAACCTTCAAAACTAGGGAGGCCAAGCCCATGATGACACTCTTCAGGTCACTTGTTCTATCTAGGCTGGAATATTGCTGCACTCTAACAGCACCTTTCAAGGCAGGTGAAATTGCCGACCTAGAAAATGTACAGAGAACTTTCACGGCGCGCATAACGGAGATAAAACACCTCAATTACTAGGAGCGCTTGAGGTTTCTAAACCTGTATTCCCTGGAACGCAGGAGGGAGAGATACATGATTATATACACCTGGAAAATCCTAGAGGGACTAGTACCGAACTTGCACACGAAAATCACTCACTACGAAAGCAAAAGACTTGGCAGACGATGCACCATCCCCCCAATGAAAAGCAGGGGTGTCACTAGCACGTTAAGAGACCATACAATAAGTGTCAGGGGCCCGAGACTGTTCAACTGCCTCCCAGCACACATAAGGGGGATTACCAACAGACCCCTGGCAGTCTTCAAGCTGGCACTGGACAAGCACCTAAAGTCAGTTCCTGATCAGCCGGGCTGTGGCTCGTACGTTGGTTTGCGTGCAGCCAGCAGCAACAGCCTGGTTGATCAGGCGCTGATCCACCAGGAGGCCTGGTCACAGACCGGGCCGCGGGGGCGTTGACCCCCGAAACTCTCTCCAGGTAAACTCCAGGTATCTGTGAGCATCAGCCGAGGTAGACATAAGCTGGTATGTATGTGTACTGCCCTGTGCGACCATTTGAAGGGGCTTGAAACAAGCATGCATCACTACTTTCCAGAGAGTGACCAAGAAACAGCCACTCTTCAGTGGATCATTCATCCCTTCTCTGTACCTGATGATGCCATTCATGATGATGATTTCCCTGCAAAGGAGGAGTGGATCACAATGCGAGCCAATGAAGCCTTGAAAATCGAATTCCAAAACCAAAATGCAGATTCCTTTTGGATTTCACGACTACCTGACTCGCCAACTCTGTCCAAGAGAGCCTTGAAGTTGTTGGTATCATTCTCAACAACGTATCTGTGCGAGAAGGGCTTCTCAACTGTGCTGGGTATGAAAACAAAAAAGAGGACTCGCTTGAATGTTGCGAACGATGCCAGGCTGGCACTTTCAACCACGAAGCCAAGAATTCCTAAACTAGCTTCAAGTATGCAACTCCATCCATCCCACTGATGTTCTTGACATCTTTGGTAATAGTCATTAGAGATGCACAATGTTCAAATACAATAAATAATAGAAAATATCTCAAGTGTTTTAATTTAGCCATATATATCAATAATAACAACATTTTGTGAAAGGGGTAACATGCTTTATGTGGCATGTTAAATTGGGTAACAAGCTGAAAAAGTTTGGGAACCACTGCTGTGGAGGGTAGCACGAGAGCATATGGATACACAAAAGGCCCAGGAACTAGGCCCCAAGGGGTTAACATGAATACATATGGATTTATACCTACATATCTATAGTTTACTTATCTTTTACAAGCAAATTTAGGAAATTTGCTTAGTATATCTGGTATCTTATTTTCATTAATAAGATATCTTGACATGTCACATAGGTTATTATACTGTCTGTCTCTGTATTCCTCAATAAGTGGACAATTAAGCACAGTGTTCAAGACAGTGACCATATGCCTGATCACATAATTTGCATTTAGTTTGATCATCATCTGTGTCTCCCAAACTGCCAGAAGTACTTGTAACCAAGCCTAAGCCTGGCCACTACAACATCAGTCAGTACTTGTAACCAAGCCTAAGCCTGGCCACTACAACATCAGTCAGTACTTGTAACCAAGCCTAAGCCTGGCCACTACAACATCAGTCAGTACTTGTAACCAAGCCTAATCCTGGCCACTACAACATCAGTCAGTACTTGTAACCAAGCCTAAGCCTGGCCACTACAACATCAGTCAGTACTTGTAACCAAGCCTAAGCCTGGCCACTACAACATCAATCAGTACTTGTAACCAAGCCTAAGCCTGGCCACTACAACATCAGTCAGTACTTGTAACCAAGCCTAAGCCTGGCCACTGCAACATCAGTCAGTCTGTTCACATTGCAAGTTGCTCCATAAACATACTTATCTACGTTCATAGTGGGTTATAGATCTACTCAGGCTTCTAACTGCATTCCTATAACAATCATTTTCATTATTTACTTCTCTCCTAATATTATTCCTAATGCTAGACACAGTTATACCAAAGTTATATTCTACATTCTCTTTCTGGGTACTCTTCTTGGCTAACATATCAACTTTATGTGTAGAGAACCTGGGATAACCACAAAAAAGTCAAAGTGACTTATTTCCATTGGGGGTGTTACACAAGTGTTTTACTTATCAACTTGTCGGTTTTCTAAACCATTTATTCCTCACAAGGAAGGTTCCTTGATGTTGGTGAGGGGCTCTTGATCTAGGGAATTGGATCTGTGTTCCAGGTCCCTGAATTAAATCTGAACACCTTCCACATCCTCCATAGGCGCTGTATAACCCTACGGGTTTAGCGCTTCCCCTTGATTATAAAAATAATAAACCATTTATTTAAGAACTATGTTACGATAGCATCATTTCTCTTTATAAAAAGTTATTTCAAACCACTATCCTTTACTTTCCCTAAAAGCCTTAAGCCCCACCCGTGGTATGGTTTGTTTGCAATTGTGTCACTACGATTTCGTGAGTCACTTAAACCCGCGGTCAGAGAGTCTCAAAACTCCACACCGTCGCGTTTACATGGAGAGAGTTCCGGGGGTCAACGCCCCCGCGGCCCGGTCTGTGACCAGGCCTCCTGGTGGATCAGAGCCTGATCAA